CCCCACTCCCCTCTGCGCCTCCGGCCTCCCTGCCCGGCTCCCCTCCCCACGCCCCTTCTGAGCTAAGCGCAGAAAGGCCGGGCCGGGCCGGGGCGGCGGGCGGACGGCGCGGACCTAGCGGCTATGAAGGGGCCCCCGGGGGCCCGCAGCCCGAGAGCCCCCTGGGACGGAGGCGCGCGCGGCCGGGGCCAGCAGCCTGGGGTCGCCGGGGCTGGAGCGTAGGGGCTGCCGCCCGCGATGGACCTCACCGGGATCGATCTGGACTCGCCGCCGCAGGTCAGTGCCCCCCGCCGCCGCTCACAGAGCCCCTTTATGCGTCCGCATCAGTACCCGCGCCATGTCCTCCTGGGCGCGTGTGCGCGCGCCTGTGTGTGTGTGTGCTTATGTGCGTGTGTGTGTTTGTGTGTGTGGCTGTGCGAGCAGCGGGGCAGCTGGAGAGCCGCCGGGAACCGGACTGGGGCCGAGGGGCCTCGAAACAAAACCTGGGCGATGCCCGCCCTCCTCGGGCGACGTGGAGTGGGGAGCTGGTTCTCAGCAGCTCCCACCAGCTAGCCGGCTCTCAGCTTGCTGGTCCCTCCCCACCTCAGCAGGTGGTTGCCGAGGGCCCGGGTCTGGGGGCCAGCACCCGCTACACGGGCTCCCCAGCGTTGTCCTCAACCGCTCTGAGGCTGCAGCCACCGGCGAGTTAAGTCTCTGCAGCTCTGCCGGGGATGCTGAGGGGCTAAGAGGTGGCCAGGTGGCCCAGGGTCCTTGGGACGTTAAGTGTAGAGGGAGGAGAGAAGCACGACCCCGTTTACCCTCTACCTGCTGCACTTGGGCTCCAGCATGGGGTCCTGATCACTCCCAAGTCAGAGCCCGTAACTTCTGAGAAGGAGCTGAGACGTGAGGCAGGAAAGAAGGAAGAAGGAGGCCAGGGCATCCAGCGGTGACAAGGAAGGAGGTGACAGCTTGGGACCAAGAGCTGAGGTCAAGAGACACACATACACAAGCCCTTGTCCAGTCTCCCCGTCCCCTTCTCTGGCCAGGCCTAGTCTCAGCTGGCACTGTCTGCATGGATTCTTGCAGAAGCTGGGGCTGAGGGACTCTGGGGATTTCTGATGCACTGGACTCTGAAGCCGGCCTTGCTGACCATTGTCAGCGCCATGCCTGGAGGGGGACGGGGGCAAGCGCAGCTACACCTGCGTGGGAACCAGTCTGGGTAGGGTGCCTGTTTGGACTTGAGTGTGGGTTTTGTGGCGTGTCCTGCTTCACAGGACTGAGTAGGGATGTCTTAGTGCATAGCCTGTGACACTATTGTGTGCATTTGTGTGGAAATGGGGACACAGCTTCATAAGGTACTGGGGTTGTGCAGCGTGTGGCTTCACAGGAACATGGCTTGAGGTTTTCTGAAATTTTTGTTCTGTGCCTTGTGTCTCCCTGCCTCTGTCAGTGGCCACCACAGAGATGGACATATTTCCTCCCAAACCTGCACAGCTGGGGGCCGTTACTGGCTTTACTGGACCAAACTGAAGTCCCCTTCCCTCCGTGTGGAATGAAGACCCTTCCCCCGTGAGACCCTCAGAGAGATTGTGCACTGTGCTCAGTCCATCCCCAGCACCCCCTAAGGTTCTGGAGCTGCGTGCCGTTCCCCTCTGCCCCTTTGGGTGGGAGCAGAAAGGCTTGCCGGGAGTACAGAACGGAGAGGGCTGATGGATTTGGGCCCCATTCAGCAGTGGTGCCGAGTGGCTTGCCATGCCCATTCTGTCCCAGGCCCTTGGACACTTGGGCATCCCTGTGTGTTCAGGCACATTAGAGGCCCACAGGCGCTGGGCTGAATATGTGCATGTAGGTCTCTGGATGAACAGACACTGGCTAGTCCTCAGAGTGTGGGGCAGGTGAATCACTGAGGGGCACAGGCAGAGACCAGGAGCTGCAGAGGAAGATGCTGGCAGAGCCAGCCCAGTCCCCTCCCTCAGGCCTCTGGACCCACCTGGATTTTCCCACCGCAGTTCTGAGGGGCGGGGGCGAGGGGTGAGGGGACCGAGTCACTGTACACCCCCTGGTCGTGAGCACCGAGGGGGAGACAGGGCAGGAGCCCTGCAAGTGTGAGAGTTGTCGCAGGGTGAGCTGACCTGGAGCCAAGCCCTAGGATCTGGGCGTGTTGGTTCAGCTTGGCTGCAGGAGGAGCTGGCACAGAGGTGCCTGAGAGCTCCCCTCGGCTGAGAACTGGAGGGGAAGGGAAGCAGGGCTCGGGAAAAGAGAATCTGAGAGTCTGAGGCAGGCAGAGCAGCTGCGAGAGACAACAGACAAAGGGGCAGAAAGGACAGAAGCAGGCTCACAGAGCAGCCAGCAGGGAGCCCAGTGGGGCGGGGAGTGGGGGCAGCAGCCGGCTTCCTTCCCAAGTTTCCCAACCCTGGGTGAAGCAGGGGCACAGTCTCCTGAGGAAGGTTCTTCCCAAGGCTCGCATGAATGTGAGGTTCGGAGGGAGGCCCGAAGGCAGAAGGGGGACCGCCTGTGAGACCGGGACCCTCAGGGAGATGTGGCCCGGAACCAGCCCCTGTGCTGAGGGGTCCCCTACCTCCTGGGGCCTGCCCCCCCCCCAGCCCTGGGTACAGTGGGCTGGAGGCACCCAACACCTGGAGAGAAGGAGAGGAAAACCTCCTGCTGCAGCCTCAGGGTTCCGGCCGGAAGGCCTCTGGGGGCCCCGCTGAGCACGGGGTAGGGCACGGGCTCAGCCAGGCGGGGCCGCCTCAGGCCCTCCGTGACCAGCTGGTGGACTGTGGGGGAAGCTGAGCCCCCTAAGCCCTGGCTCCCTGAAGGCCTGTGAATCCAGGAGCCCTCTGTACCAGGCTGTTTGTGGTAGAGTTCTAGGTGGATGTCACCGTAGCGTCTGGACTTTGCTCACTTCCGCATGTCTTCTGAGTGGCTCTGGAATTTGGAGTAGCCATTCTCTGGCCAACCCGGAGCCATTCACACTGGGGTTGCCATCTCTCCTATCTCCCATGCCTCCAGACTCTGGGCCTTCTCTGCCCAGCAGTGCCTGTTTCCCGGTGCCCCCTTGCCCATCCATGGCAACAATATCATTTCCATGTCTGATCAGTAGCAATGTGGTCCTTCCACTTACCAGCCAATGGTTGTCCAAAAAAATCCATGCAACTGATGAGAGCTCCAACCCGGTGGCCTCTCGGTGTTTGTGCTGAAGGATGGCGAGGTGGATGGAGATGGTTCCAAACCCCCACTTCGTGCTCATTCACTGAGCACCTACTGTGTTCCAGGCTCTGGGCCATGCCGGGAACTGAAACGTTAGAGTCAGATCAGGTTTTTTATTTAACTTTGGAAGAAAGGACTGTGTGGGTTGCTTTTTTTTTTTTTTTCCTTTTTTGCAGCTATAGCAAATTTACTTTTCTGATGAGGTTTAGCTCCAGCCAATATTAAAATGAGTCTGCACTCCCTGAGCACACCGGCAACAACAGGGCAGCGGCCTCCCAGCCAAGTGCTTGGCAGGGCTTAGGGCTTCGCCAGCAATAAGCCCAAAGTGGAGAGTGTCTGGGCTACCAGGAGCTGGATGGACTTGGGGATAAAACTTGCCTGCAGTTTTAAACTTGTGGACCGGGTTTCTCTCTTCAAGAAACTTCGGGAAGGAGGGGAGCAGGGGCATAGAGATGGCAGGCTTGGCCGTGGGTACCAGGAGTGGACCCAACCTGCAGCTGGGTCCCTGGTCTGCGGGTGCTCGCTGACTGTTGTGTGAGGCTGGGCACAGGCGGTCCTCTCTGCCTCACTTCCGTCTATCTCGTTCTCTTCTGCGTGAAGCAGTCGAACAATCTGGCCTTCGAGGCCATGAGTCCGTTTAGGCTCAAAGCTCTGGGCTGTTCATGTAACCATCACTCAGAAGCCTGAACCCAATGCTGGAATGGGGTAGGCTGCTCTCCCTCCCTGGTGGGCTGTCCCCCAGCCAAACCAGCCACTTCTCAGCTCAGTAGCACATGTGTCTAGTGGCCATCACATTCCCAGCATCACAGAGTTCTCCTGGCAAATGCTGCCCTAGACTGCACAGAGGGCTCAGCCAGGTGCTGCGAGCACGGAGCCCAACTACTGGACTCAGATCCCCGCTCTGCCGCCACAGCTGTGTGTCCTAGGGCCAGTACTTGACCTCTCTGTGCCTCACACTCCTCATCTCTAAACGAGGACGATAGCAAGATGTCTGTGAGGCAGGACTGAGTGTTACGGTTAATCACGTTAACCACTCAGAAGAGGAGTAGCAAGTGCTTTGCTTTGCAATTTTTTATTGTTCGTTCAGTTAACGTTTCACGTAGCGAACCCTTGTGGAACCGGCGCATGGCCTTGCTTCCATCTCTGACCCCTCTGAGCCTGTCTCCTCACCTGCGACAGGCATGAGGCCGGTGGGTGGGCCTGCTTCGCTCTCCCCAGGACAGAGGACGGGGGGTGTCCGTCTTTGCACACGAACGCAGCCACATGCGTGGGGGAAGTGGGCACACCTGAGATTCCGTTTAGTGGCACCACTCCCACCAAAGACCATTTCTGGAGCCCCCACGCGTTCAAAATAAAAGGAGCTGCAGAGGTCATGGGTTCAATCCCTGGTACCGCCATTAAAAAAATAAGTTTAGTAAGTAAACCTAACCCCCCCCAAAAAGTAAATAAATAGAAATAAAAAATAAACAGAGCAAATAAGTTCCCGGCCATCAGCATCTGCTGGGTGAGGGCCTGAGGGCTCCACCTGGGCTACCGCCCCTGGTCTTGAGGGAGGGGGAGCCCAGCAGAGGGAGAGGGGCCTTGGGCAGACAGGATTTAGAGGTCACCTGGCTGAGCCAGTCCCAGCACCAGGTGTGCCAGCCACTCACTGAGGGGCAGAATCTCAGGAGCCGCTGTCTCTTCATCTACAGCGGGAGGGGCATGTAGCGTGTGAGCGTTCCTCCCAGACTGTGCTACTGACCCCGGAAGGCTCTCCTCTACAGACGCCCCCGGAGCAGGAGGCAGGAGCAAGGGGGCCCGCCTGCTGTGAAGGCAGAAAGAAGAGTAAATGGGTCTGGGGAGCATCTGCAGCTATGAGCTAGCCGTGGACGCACAGGTGGTCTGGCCCAGACTGGGAAAGGGGCGGATTCTGTGGCTCTAGGCTGTTTCCTCCTTTCTACCGATGAGGAAGCCAGTGCCCAGAGAGGTTCCATTCCTGTTTCAGGTCACACAGCACTTTGGTGCCTTGTCCCAGATGGTGGCCTAAGTCCCCCAGAGCCTAGCCCTCCCGCTCTCAGGCCCCCCCATGTTGTGCAGGACAGAGATGAGCAACGGGGTGGCAGGAGCAGCCCCCCAGGCTCAGGGTAGGAGACCCACACTGGACCCCCAGGCCCCTTCCACAGACCCACTGGGATAGGCCTCCTCTCTCCCCTTCATGACAGCTGACCCCAGAGGACAGACCTAAACTGCCTTGACAGGGCCCCAGGGAAGGTCAGCTGGTTCAGGCCACAGGCGACACATTAAAAATATATGCGAAACTTTAATTAAACCAGTGAATCATCAGTCTGCATGGTATGTTCACGCATGCTCTGGCCGAAGGAATGAGGTCAGCCTGGAAATCAGGTGGAGTGAGCCGTCAGGCCCACAATGGCTCGAGAGGGTTTGGGGTGCCGGCTCTGCTCAGACCAGACCCAAAGCCTTGTGTCCCCATTAGCTGACTGGGGTCTTTCTGGGGTGGGCTTCTCAGCCCGAGCAAATCCAGGCCATCCTCAGCCCATCCCCAGCACTGTCCAGCACGCTGGGAGGTAAGCGCAGACTCAGAGGTGTCAGGGCTGCATCCCTGGAGATGCAGTTTCTGGAAGGGTGCGGCCAGTGGAGCAGGCCACACCAGGCCACCTGGAGCCCCCCTTCCAGGGGCGTCAGTGCGTGTAATGAGTGCCTCGCCCCTTCGTGCCCAGGTGGGACCCGCGCTCGGCTCCTGGGCAGTTGAGCTCAACTTGCTGTACAGACTCTGAGCACGTGCTCCCCTTCTTCTTCCGTCAGAAAGCTCTGAACTAAAGCTGAAGTATTACTCATCTACCTCATCAGCTGTCAGTGTTAACTTCCTCTCCCTCCCGTAAATCTCGCTCCAGGAACAAGCGTCCCACTTGCTCCCAATGTCCACCACCTCCCTCCACGCCCGAGGACTGGGGACACAGTGGGCTGCCCTGTGTGTGCGCGTGCATGTGTGCATGTGTGTGCATGCTTGTGTGTACACGCACACCATCATCTGTCCACGTCCTGGCCTGCTCACTCCTAACAGCTCATCTGGAGCCTCTGGGGGCTTCCCACAGCCATGCCCTGTGCATGTTTCCTGGCGGTTACCCTGCCAAGTGACAGCCAGCAGGGAGCTGCACACACTGGGACAACACACAGGTGCCCGCCCAGCCCTGCTGCTGGGAAGGCCTCCTGTGCCCCTCCTTCAATGTCCAGGTGCGTCTGACCCATCTGCCCAGACCTTCTGGATGGCAGGTTCTTTTTTTGTGGTTAGAACAAAAGCACAACAAAATTAAAATGTAGCATCTTAACTGCTCTTAAGTGTGCAGTGCTGTTAAGAACATTCATCATTCAGTGATCTTAGCCATCCATCTCCAGAACCTTTTCTTTCTGCAAACGGGGAACTCTGTATTCGTTAAACTACCCCCGACCTAGCTCCCAGCCCCCAGCCCGGGCACCTGCCCTTCTGCTCTCCGTCTACAGAGGTCTGACTGATTACACATCTCCGTGAGTGGGTCACACGGGGTTGGTCCTGCTGCTCTGCCTCTCCCTGAGCGCAGCATCCTCTGGGGTCCCACGTGCTAGCAGGTGTCAGGACTCTGTTCCCCTCAGGCTGGGTCCCACCATGTGGATGTGTTTCGTCGTCAGGCTGGGGGTCGTTTGATGCCAGACCAACGATGGGGCAGAGTGCTAACAGCGATATCTCTCCACCGCCCTGCCCAGCCTGGGGCCTGTTGGGTCGGGGATGGTGCAGACACCTCTGTGCTGAGTCCTAGGCATCTGATTTGGGTCTCTGGTTGCTCCCCTGACTGTCCAGTGCCAACCACATGTACTCAATGCCCAGCCCATGTGACAGTCCCCAAAGGTGGGGCAGGAGCAAGTTGGGGAGAGCACTCCCAGCAGAGGTGCCAGGTGGGCAGGTGAAGGGGCGCCCACTGGGCCCCCAATCCCCCACCTCCCGGGCACCTGGGACTCTGGGAGCTGGGGGGAAGCTGGGGTCTCCTTGACCCCCATCCACAGGGGAGGCCCAGAGAGGCAGAGATGGGCCCATGGCAGGAAAGGCCAGCGTGTTCAGGGGCATTTTGCTGTCATTGTATTGGAACCAGGCAGGACCTCGTCTGGGCAGGATCTCAATCTGTGCTAGGGGGACCCACCTGCAGTTCTGCTTGGCCTGTCCTCAGTGGTGGGGTGCAGCCAGGAGATGGAGGCAGTGGGGAGACGGCCCTGGGAGCCGTTGGTTGAGCCCCTCTGCTCCCTGAGCCTGTGACTCAGGCACAGGGGACCCACCCTCGGTCTGCTCTTGAGCTGGCCTTCCGTCGAGTGGAGACCCAGTCACAGGAGGGCTCCAGCCAGGCTCAGAAGCCGAGGGTGTTCACACACGCCCACGGACACACATGCACTCGTTCAGACCGGGCACTGGCCATGCACACACACGTGCACGCACACGTGTGTGAAGACGTGGGCTGCAGCACTGTGAGGCCACTCAGGGGCTCTTTGGTTTGCGAGGGGTCAGGCAAGGAGGCAGCCTCAGGAGCTCTCAGGATAGACGGCAAATTCCATGTCCAGGAGGACAGGCAGCAGGCGTCTCTGGTGCCTTCACCAGGCTTACAGGCCAAGTCAGACAGCATCAAGAGGGCAGTGGGGAGAGGGAGAGGGGCATGATAAAACACAGGGACACGCAGGCCCCACGTTGGGCTGTGGCAGAGGCGACAGCAGGAGTCAGAGGCCAATCTGAGGAGGGAAATGAGGGAAGTAAGGGGGTGCTTGCGGCTGAGGCCTGGCCTGGCTTGCTCTCTGGGCATCTGAACTCAAACTGTGCTCCTGGGGCTGGCCCAGACCCTGGGTGGGAGGGGAAGTCACCATCTGGATGGACAAAGGCAGGTCTGGTGGCTTCCAGAGCTCTTGGGAGCCCTGCAGGGAGGGGAGGCGCTGTATTGGACGTGGGTCAGACGGCCGTAGGCAGAGGTAGAAGGGAAACGGGAGAGGCCACAGGGAGTGGTGGGTGTGGCCGCACGGCAGAGCCTGGGTGACACCGAAGTTTTCGATCTGTTCAGATTCCACGGTGAACCGGATGTAACACGCAGTCCGAACCTGTTTTCAGTCTTCAACTAGTCAGAGTCCAAACCTAATCCAAAGGCTATCTCTGAAAAACCAGAAAGCAAACTAGGGAACTGCCCCAAACAAGCAAAAGGTGGAGTGTGTTTTCTGACTCTGCTGGGCTGGAAGAAACCAAAGCTGTCACGTGGGGTTTACACCAGGCCCAAGTGGAGCTGCCCTGCTGCCCCCACCCAGGGTTTGGTCTCCTGGGGAGAGGCGACAAGGTGGGGCGAGGCACAGAGTCCACACTGCCCTTCCTGCCAGGCCTTCTGAAGTGAAGGCCAGAGGTGGCCAGGCCATGGCAGGACGCAGAGCCCCAGGGCATGGCCTTCCCTCCCCAACAGCCTGCACCGTGAAACTGTGGGGGAGCCCCTTCCTGGGCCCTCAGCTGACCAGGGCGGGCAGGGCAGGGCCGTCCCAGTGAGCTGGGAGCCTGTCCTGGGCCTGCAGGCGGGAGACAGCATGCACAGGCACCTGGTGTGAGCAGCTCCGCTAACTCCCAGACCCTGGGCCCTTCCAAGCCACAATTTCCTCATATGTACAATGGGGATGAAGCCCCCTGCCTGCCTCTCAGCCTTCAGTGGAGACCAAAGGGCTGGGCATCATGAAAACTGAACCTCACCTGCTCCAACAGCATGGCCGCCCAGGACCTCACTTCCCTCCTGAGAGTGGAGTGAGCTGTGGGACCTGCTCCAGGGCGAGGATGGCGGGTGGAGAGGCCACTCGTGTCCTGTCAGGCAGGGCGGGGATGGGGGCCGGGGGCCAGGGCTCGGGGGCCGGCTAATGGAGTGTGGACTGGCTGGACCGGAGCTGATTGGCTCTGGTGTCCGGCTCTCCTGAGCAGCAGCAGCAGAATCGATACTCGTCCCCTGATCCCATTAGGGCTCCCACAGATCTCTGGGCAGGGTCAACCCTCCCCTCGCGGGGCCCCGGCTTCTGTCAACCTTGCCCCTCCCCTGCCTTCCGCAGCTCCGGCCCCCTAACCCGCATCCCTCCCAGGCCCAGGGGGGCTTGGGCTCCTGGAAGACGGGGACAGCTTCTTTCCTCGCGGGCACAGCCGGGGCTCTCCTCCATCCCTGTAAGACCAATGTCCTTTATTCTGTCCGTGCGCTAAACGGTACCCAGGCCGGTGGGAGCCTGGGGTCCCCTCTGGTAGCCAGTGAGCTGCATCCTTCCCAAGCATCTGGAATATTTGTTCCCAGCCTGTTTGTGACGGTCCTGTGTGTTCTCATGGTCACAGAATGTGACACTCCACGAACTGTGAGCTGGAAAGAAAAGAATGTGTCGTTCCTATGAAAACTAAGTGGAATGCTCTCGACTCCATGAGGTGAGCCTGGGAAAAAACTTCTCCAAATTAGGTGAAGATTGGTGGGAAATGTCAGGAAACTCCTCAAGGATATGGCACTGGGTTGCTCACTGAGCGTCCCAAAGCATCCCCAGGTCTTGTCACTCTGGAGAGGTCAGGCTGCAGGCAGGGCGCCCAGCCCTCCCACCTCCAGAGGGTGGTGAGCTCCTGGGAAAGGCTGGAGCCTGCTTCCAAAGAGGGCAGAGCTGCAGTGGCCAGGAGGAGTGTTGGGTTGCACTGCGCGGTCATTGGGGACCACCGTCCATCCAACTCTGGGCGCTTCAGTTCTTGCTTCTCCTGAGCTGACACATGTGGCTTGTATGTGTCACCTGGAAGGAGTCTTCACCCCACGGCCTCCTTGGCCAGCCAGCCAACCACTGTCCCACTCCAGAGACGTGGGGTTGGGTAGTCTGTGTGTAACAGACTCCACGCTCACACACACACACGCACACACACACAGGTGCGCACATGCTATCTCTGCAGCACCTCCCCCGAGAGAGGGCCACATGAAGCCCCTCCCTGAGGGCTGGTCACTGCCGGAAGGCCGCCTGTCCATCTCCCGCACCTCCGCATTGTCCCTGGAACCTAACCCAAAGCCCCACTCACCACCGATGCTGGGACTTACACAAGCCTCCTCCTCGGGAAGATGCCTCCCTGCACGTGTGGAACCATCCAGCCTTCAAGCCCACCTCGCCTGGCTTTGCCTCCCCAGCCTCGCCCCTCCTGTCCAGCCTGACTGGCTCCAGCCCAGCCTTGGGCTCATCAGAGCCCCTGATCTAGGTCCCAGGACACTCTGAAACTCGTAGGTCTTCCCAGACGTGGCCCACCTCCAGGGCTCACTGGCCCTTAAACCATGACCGAGCTCCTTGGAGAGCCATGTTGCGGCCTCTTGCTCTGACTCTGGCCTTGATGGACCCCGACCCCCGTTTTGTCACACAGGACACTTCTCCATCCTCACAGCCCTTACTGTCCGGACCCCAAGTAGCTAACGAAACAGAACTGAGACTTCACCAGGGTGCTCCCAGTCCAGCCCTACTTTTGGAGATGAGCGCAGGGGCTGAGGAGGACAAGCAGGGGCCCCAAGCCCCCATGGAGAGCCGGCCCCTGGCCCACTGGGCTCACATGCCCCTCTGTACAGCACTGATCTGTATCCAGCCGAGGCCCTGGGAGGTGCCCAGGGGCAGAAGGGCCCCCATCTGTACCTGCTGAGGGGCACAGGACGATGGCGGCGGAGGCTGGACACAGACACGAGCCTCGGTGGAGGGCGGGGAGTCGCGGCCGTAGCAGACACAAGCCCCCACTCACTCTAGCCTGCAGGAGCCTCCCTCAAACATCTGTTCTCCGTGCCACGCCCCTCCCCACTCTGAGTGTGACCCAGCCCTCCTCTGTCTCACCCCCTTTGCCCAAGCCCACCAAGGGCGGGGTCTGCGGAGGCACCAGCCCTACCCACAGGCAGGCAGCCCCTACTTCAGGGTTCGGGTTAGGAGCAGCTACCCCATCTCAGACTTAGGCCTCTGGGTCTGGGGTGGGGGTGGGTACAGCTTTCACCCCCACCCCAGGCCCCAGGCCCCAATTCCCCTAGACCCGCCCCCTGCTGGCTAGCTGGCTTCCCCCAAGGCTGGGGCCCTCCCTGCTCGGCTTAATAACCTCCTGATAATTATCTCCACAATTTTGCTGCTTGCTTATAATAGTCTCCATTAAAGTTACGGGGTTTTCAGGCCATAATGGCTTCCAGAGTAATTAATGCACAACTGGGTTTATAGCTAAGTTTATTTTTAGAGCTTTTCTGCCTCACCCCTTCCCCCTCCTCTTATAGATGCTTTGACCAGACAGACTGGATGGGATCAGAGCCTCCATCCACGGCCCCAGCCTCCATCCCCCCATGTCCACTCCGGCCCCCTCCTGCTCCCCCTGGGGAGGTGCTGGGACCACTCTGGGGCCTGACCTCCCTTCCCGAGCTCCTGACTGCAGCACAGACCCAAAGGGTCTGGCAGCTCAGGTCTGGCTCCACCATGTGCTGTGACTTGGACGAGACATTGACCCTCGCGGTCTCAGCAAGCCCCGGGTGAAACGGGGAAGAGGTCCTCACCCGCGGCCCAGGAGTCCTGAGGACGGAAGTGCTCAGTGCATCCAAACAGCTGTTCTTGTTAAAACTGCAGCCCAGGCCGCCCACAGAGGAGCCAGTGCCAGAGGCAGGAGGCCGCCCCAGCTCAGCCACCTGAGCGCACCGGGCAGGCCAGGTGTGTGCAGAACAGCCCCAAGCTCACTCTGCCGTGGCTTTCCCACCCTGAAGTAGCACCCTCCCCAAGACCAGGACTCCTGGAAAAGTTCCAGGGTGATCACAGAACCAGAGGAGACCTCCCAGCCAGGTCTGTTGGAAGGGCCTCTCCTCCTAAGACGCCCAGCCAAACAGAGCCCCTTTGCAGCCTGTCTATGGCCTAGGGCGGGTGGGAGATTGGCAGGGGTGTGGCATGAGCTCACTCAGCACACGAGACCCAGACTGGCATCCTGGGGTGGGATCCTGGGCTCCAGCACCTGCTGGGGCCACGGCATAGGAGTCTGAAGGAGACCCAACGTGCCTCAGGATTATTCTCCTCTGCGCTCTGTGCCCCCACCATCCCTGCCTGTAACCTTAACCTGGGAGCCTTCCCAGCTGCCTCCAAAGAGACTGTGGAGGTGGAGCTGAGGGGCGGTGGGGGCAGGGTGGCCGCCCCAGGACACCACAGTGCCTGTCACTGGAAGATGACATGGTTCTTCCACGAGGCATGAGGACCAGACAAGGACAGGGAAACAAACTGTCTCCAAAACCTGGGGCCCAAATCCTGCTCAGCCCAGCTCCTGGCTGTGCTGGGAATGGGTGGTCCCCCTCCCGTCTCCCCTGTGGACCCAGCTGCACCTTGCATGGTGCTCAGGGCAGAAGTGATGAGGAAGGTGGGAAATGGGATGTGACAGTTTCCATGGCGTCAGGAGGCTCAGCGCCCACCTCCCATCACGTGGGAGGCCAGGCAGGGCAGGGGGGCAATCTCCCCATGCAGGGTCCCTCTCCTGGGGCCTCTGCTGCTGCCACTTGAGTGCCATCTGACCAGCACGTGGCAACCCACCTGGCCCCGTCTCCTCGCTGACATCCAGCTACAAGACCTGGGCTCTGTCTTACCCACGGGAGGCTTCTCGAGAATGTCCCCCCGACGTCAACAAGGGCAGAGTGTTCCCTCCCAGGACCCATCCTCCAAATGCCTCTTACTGGTCCTCGGAGGACCCAGCCCAGCACCAACCCCTTAATCCAGGCTGTGGAACACCCATGGGGGCACAAGCATGCAGCATTCACAGCCGCTCATGCGTCCCAGACGCTCACTGAGTACATCCGGCCCATGGGCTCCACGGGCGTTAAATTGTTTAATTCCCAGAAGCCCCGGGAAGGAGGTGCTGAAGGTGCCCATTTCATAGATGAGAAGCCTGGGACACAGAGATGAGCTGGGGTTTGATCCCAGGCAGGTGTGTCTGCATCCGTGCCCTGCTGACTCCAAGTGGGCAGTGCCCGCCCTGTGCTTGTGGGGACAGAGGTGGCTGTGCCTGACCAGCAGACAGAAGCTGGGATCCACCCAGGAAACACAATGTCCTGTATCCCCAGCCAGCCGGCCCTGCTGGGGCCCATCCCGCCCAGGTCTCTGGCCATCCTCTTCTGCTCTGTCTTGCAGGTGTCCACCCTGCAGGGTTCCTGACTGCACCCTGGACAACGCCCTCCTCAGCCTCCGGTCGGGCGGGGCTCTGCAGAACTGCTTCGGCAATGGGTGGGTTGTGAGCACCGGTAAGGCCTGCTGGCCAGCATTCGGCCTCCCGCTCCCCCACGCCCGGCCTGCCTGGCCCATTCCTGTTCTTTTCTCCCCTGTGCTTGGACCATCCGCCACCATCGTGCAGGTAACGAGGAGCCGTGGGCCCAGCCAGCCTTGGAGATGCCGAAGAGACGGGATGTCCTCGCCATCGTCCTCATCGTGCTGCCCTGGACGCTGCTGGTCACCGTGTGGCACCAGAGCACCATCGCGCCCCTGCTGGCCGCACACAAGGGTGAGCCGCTGTCCCGCTGCTCATGAGCTTTGGTGATGGGGGTGACCAAAGCCAAGGCTGCTGGCAGCTGGGGAGCCATAGGGTGAGCCAGGACAACGACCCTCCTCTGGGGGGGTCTTGGCTGCTTCAGGGACCTGACAAAAGCTGCCACACATGCGGAGACTCAGGGGCCGGACGCTGTCCCCGCTCCCCGGGCGCACTCGGTGGCTGGTGGGGCTGGTGGGGCTGGTGCGCGGGCGGATTCCCAGCCTGTGCTGTGCCATAGCCTTCCAGGGAGAGTGTGCTGTTTACTCCCTTTCCTCCTGGTCAGGAAGCCCTGATCCAGCCCTACCAAGTGCAGACCGTCCCTGGAGCAGGGGTGGGAGAGCTGGCCTCTCCTGCTCCAAGGCCAGACCTCTTCCCGCTCACGGGGGCTTCCTTCACCCCAAGGCCGGGCATGTGCCCCCACCTGGCCTGCCCCCATCCCGCGGTCTCTGGTCCCACACCCTCCTCCCCCGCGTCCACACGCAGACACCACCCTCCAGGGCAGCCCTTCTCCCACTGAAATGTGCGTGAGAACCTGGGGGCCTGATGAGACATGGGGGTGCCCGGCCCACCCCAGAGACAGGGCAGGGTCCGGGTGGGCCTGGAAATGAGTGATCTGGGGGCAGGCAGGGGCCAGGAAGCAGTCTGGATCCCTGACATGGAATCACACGTCGGGTCTTGCTCAGCTGGGGGTCCTAAGGTTCTAAGGAGCGACCGAGGTGAAGGTCGCTGCGCGCCCTCTGCCAGGCTGGGCGCCTGGAGCCCCTGGCCTTTCTCCTTGACTCCAACATCTCTCTTTGGTGCTTGTCATCCTGCAACCTGTCATTCCAGAGGGGCCATAACTACCACGTGTCAGGAGGCAGCACCACGTGGATTCCATTCTCGGCAGAGCTCTGGGGTCAGAGAAGTCAGGCTGTTGTGCTCAGCACTGCTGTCCCTGCCTGAGGACAGGGAACTGGCCGCTGTCTCCCCAGAGCAGCCAAGGCAGACCGAACGAAGGCGGCACTGAAAGACGTTAGGGAGGCCCATAGGGCTCAAAGGTGGCAGAAGTCCTGCCCAGCTGCATTGTGAGGCCCAGGCAGCCTCCCAGGGCACAGACCCGCCGGGGGATGATTGCAGTGGTGGAAAAAGGGAGGCAGGGGAAGCTCAGTCTCGTTCCCCAGCCTCGGTACCTAAACTTCCCTCAGGGTGGGATGAATTTGACCGTCTTTATATCCTGGTCAGAGTCTCCTCTCCTCAAGATTGTTCTCTTAGCAGCTTGACCCAGAACTGCTTTGGGAAGTCCCCTCTGCTCCCCATGTCTGTGCTCGCTTTCCTGCTGCATCTGCACCCGCGGGCCTCACATCCCTGGCCGGGGCGGGGTTCCGGCTGCCGCTGTGTGTCCCGTCGTGCCTTCAGCCTGTCTGAGCTCCCTGAGAGCCCGAAGCCTGTGTCCCCTCCGGAGCCCAGCGTCAGACCCCACCTGCTAATGACAGGACTGGGGCAGAGAGGTGGCAGCGGCTGGTTCACAGCATCCTTCCAGAACCACACTTCCCTCCTTGCGTGTAACCGCTCACACTATCCTTTCTGTAGCTGCAAGAAGCCACGGGGAATAGAGCTGTTTACCACCCTCCTCCTATACAAGAGGAGCTGAGAGTGACCTGCTGGGCAGTGTTCCAGCCCTTTAACCCCGTAGTAACTCGATAAGGTAGACGCTGTTATCAGCTCCCTTTTGCATTTGGTAAAACTGAGGCACCAGAAGCTCCCTGCTCAAGGCCACGTGGTTGGTACGTGACAGGGCTGGTCAGGGTCTGAGCCCAGGTGTTGGGATCCTAGGTCTGGCCTCTGCTCGTTGCCACCTCCTGCTGAGATGCTGTGAGGGCAGTGAGGGCCCAGCCATCCAAACAGGAAGGGAGGGCTCTTAGGAGTGAGAGTGCCAGTGTGCTGATTCCTCTTGGTGGTGGGACTGACGCTTCGCCCACGGGGAAGATGTCCAGGATGTAAGAAAGGCTTGGCGATAAGAGCTGTCTGGGCCGGAAGGAGGGGCTCCCCATGCCTCCGAGTGTTTCACCTGAGGCCAGGCCTCCACCAGGTTTCATCCCAGTCCCTGCTGGGGTCTTTGGGACACGTGGTGTGCACCGCTGGCTGCAGGGCAGGTAGGGTTCCAGACGGTCGAAAGAGCGGACCCAGAAAGTGCAGGTTAGGAGACCTACACCAAACCACAGAAGAACCAAGACAGGCCTCCGCTCTGTCCTTTTGCCCAAATGTGGGGATACCTAGAATCGGAAAGGACAGGATCAGGACAAAATTTTCTTGACAACTACGGGTGACACCCTGGATCAACAGGCAGCACTTAAATATCAAATTCCACACCAAGATTCAGAGGCTGGATTATGAAACCCCAACGCGAGGGTTTGTGAAAACCCGGGCAGGGCAACGTTAGACCCCAGGGCACAGTGGGCTTTGTCCGAGAAAGTTCTGACACCGCCCTCAGGCGCAGCAGCAGAGGGAGGCAGTGCCCAGGCTCTGCAGTCCCACGCTGGCTCTGGCCAGATGAGGAGGGCATAGGGTGGCAAGGGCAGAACACTCTGTCACGTTAAACCCAATACATTTGTGAACCGAGGATGCAGGCTTGGGATTTGGCCAGCTGCCCTCAATAGCTACCGAGCTGTCAAATGTGGGAAGGAGGAAGAGGCCATTTCTGTGTCTCTAGCAGTCAGAATTAGGAGAAACCCGGGAAGGGATGTCAGGCAGGCAGCCTTGACCTTCAGCTGCAGCCTCCCTGCCCCCTCCCAACTCCGAACCCTGGGGCAGGTGGAAGAGCAGAGGAGAGGTGTGGCAGGGCGGGGCTGGGGCCCCTGCGGTACCTGCAGCCTGAGCCAGCCCACACCTCTCTCTTCCGCCCACCTGCAGATGACGGCAGTGACTCCCGGCGTGAGGCTCCCCCCGGCACAGACCCCAGGGAGTACTGCATGTCCGACCGCGACATTGTGGAGGTGGTGCGCACGGAGTACGTGTACACGCGGCCCCCGCCCTGGTCCGACACGCTGCCCACCATCCACGTGGTGACGCCCACCTACAGCCGCCCAGTGCAGAAGGCGGAGCTGACGCGCATGGCCAACACGCTGCTGCACGTGCCCAACCTGCACTGGCTGGTGGTGGAGGACGCGCCCCGCCGCACACCGCTGACTGCGCGCCTGCTGCGCGACACCGGCCTCAACTACACGCATCTGCACGTGGAGACGCCGCGTAACTACAAGCTGCGCGGAGACGCACGCGACCCGCGCATCCCGCGGGGCACCATGCAGCGCAACTTGGCCCTGCGCTGGCTGCGCGAGACCTTCCCACGCAACTCCAGCCAGCCCGGCGTCGTGTACTTCGCAGACGACGACAACACCTACAGCCTGGAGCTCTTCGAGGAGGTGCGGGCCGCGGGGGAGGTGCTGGCCGCGGACACACGAGGGAAACCTGGGAAACCCTGGAAGGGGCAGCCTGCAGGACCCCAGGAGCCTGGGAGAACTGGCTGAAGGGAAGGGGGTTGGCGTTGGGGCTCCCAGACCATAGCCCTGGCCTCGGGGCATTGTCTGAGGGCTTCCGGTTGCAGGGGCGCGGGTTCTGTGTCGACCCTCGGAGGGTCTTGTGGTTTGGGAGTCAGGGCAGTGGGGAGGGGAAGGAGTCATTTCAGACTCTAACCTGGGAAGACAAGTGTTGCAGAAGGGGGCAAAGCGGGCAGCAGGTCGCGCGAGAAGGGGAGTGTGACCTGGGTGGAGAGGCGGGCTTGCGCCCCTGGCCCAGCCGGGCACACAGCTCACTGATGACTCATCTTCCGCGGGAGGGGCTCCGCGCGGGTCGGCAGCGCAGGCGCCCTGACGCTCTTCCCGCTCAGATGCGCAGGCACCCTGACTCCTGCGCCTGCCCGGGTGTCCTGACTCTCTTCCCCTGCAGATGCGCAGCACCAGGAGGGTGTCCGTGTGGCCCGTCGCCTTCGTCGGCGGCCTTCGGTACGAGGCCCCGCGCGTCAACGGGGCAGGGAAGGTGGTCGGCTGGAAGACGGTGTTCGACCCCCACCGGCCATTTGCAATCGACATGGCAGGATTTGCAGTCAACCTGAGGCTCATCCTGCAGCGGAGCCAGGCCTACTTCAAGCTGCGTGGCGTGAAGGGAGGCTACCAGGAAAGCAGCCTCCTCCGAGAACTCGTCACGCTCAACGACCTGGAGCCTAAGGCCGCCAACTGCACCAAGGTCAGACCCTCGGCAGAGCTGACAGTAGTCGTGCAGCCCTTCCCGGCCCAGGCGACCCTCCCTGCCAAGGAGGGAGAAGGGAGCAGGGCCTGGGAGACCCGGCCCCCCAGGAGGGCAGGTTACTGCCCATCAGGCAGCCACACTGAGGGCAGGAGGAAGCAGGGAGGGGCGACCAGTGGGGCAGAGCCCAGAACTGCATCTGTCTCTCTCACAAGAAGCAGCTGGGCTCCATGACCTCCCACCAGACACACCTTCACGTGGTCACACACGTGCACGCACGTGCACAGCAACATACGTGGACACACATGTGCACACTCCCACACACCTGCGTGCATACACAAGAACACACACACACACACACACACACAGCGCTTCTAGCTAGGGCCTGGGCTGTCATGTCACTTGGCTGAGCTGAAGGCCCAGAAGAATCCTCTCCCTCTGGAGAGACCCATCAAGAAACAGAGGAGAGGATGAGAAGCAAAAGGAAATCTTGGGGCCTGTTTGTCTGTTTCTGTAGCTGTAGACGTTCTGTTTCCCACAGATATTTTGAATGCATCCTATGTACAAACAGCGAGAATGAGGGGTGGGTAGAAATAAAGAACAAAGGAGGAAACCCTGAGGGAACAAGGGCAGGACGGAGGGGGCAGGGAATGCTTGCAGTGGTGGGAGGCAGGGAGCAGGCGGTGGCAGGGCGAGGTCAGGGCCCGCCCCATATCCTCTTGTGTCTCTGGGCACACAGATCCTGGTATGGCACACTCGGACAGAGAAGCCGGTGCTGGTGAACGAGGGGAAAAAAGGCTTCACTGACCCCACGGTGGAGATCTGAGCCCCAGGACACAGGTAGGGGTGAGGGAGGTAACACAGGGCAGGCCACCCAAGTCTGGATGCACAGTAGATCTGCCGAGGCTTGTCCCCTCTGTCTTCAGTAGTGGTGGTCATGGGGCAGACGCCAGCGGGAGCAACAGGAGCCCACCAGCCCTGCTATGCTGGGTCGTTCTGCCACCGGCTGCTTGGGAGGCCTGGCCATCCAGGCACCACCCGTTCGCAGCTCCCTCCTCACAAGTTCTGCTCTGTGGACTCGCCCAGGCTCTGTCTCCTGTGGGTTCCTCCTCAATCGAGGTGGAAGCATGGCCCCCAGGGCTGAGCTCGGCCCCCAGGTGCCACTTTTCACTGTCTGACCTTTCTGTCTCTGGGCCTCAATGTCTTCATCTGCACAATGGGTTGTTGGGGTACCAGGTGTGTCTCTGGAACTATAAGTCCTGCATGCATGTTGCTACTTTGTTTGATTCTTTAAAACCCTCAATCGAAGTAGGTCACAGGCTCCATCTACACTTTAGGGGTAAAGAAACATTCTGAGAAGCTGAATGGAGTGAATGGTACCAGGTGATGGGCAAGCTGGGAATTTTGTGTGGGCTTCCTGTGGTCTTGTCATAGAGGCCAGAGCTTGGACCGTGGGACACACATCTGTCCTCTGGCCGGGAGTCAAGCTGTGGCTTTGTATGACATTGGCAACTGCCTGCCCACGGGGACCACAGGGTGTCATTCTGCCTGTCTTGTCCCTGAAATTAGAAAATTACCTTGGTCAGTGCCACTGATGCTGTTGGCACAGAGCATCACTCCCTGCCCCATCCCTGACACTGGAGCGCCTGCCCCCACTGCCTCTCAATGGGGACCCGGGGGTGGGCTCTGCGGACCCCCTGGATGGCCCCCAGGGGGCCCTGACGCCTCACCCTCCCTCCCTCCCCTTCACAGGAGCCTCCTTCTCAGACCCGGTCCTGGCCACCTCCTCTCCCCACAGCTGGTGGTCCCTCCGGGGCAAACTCCTAAGGAATCACCATCACCCTCCTTCCTACTCTGGGGCCTTCAGAGAGACCAGCTGATGGCAGGACAAAGGACGGAGACCCTAAAGCACAGAAACCCCAGACCCGTTGTTCTCTTCCATCCCGCCGGGGCAAGGCCTGCTGGAGCAGACGCCGTGGGCCCTGAGCCCAGGAGCGATGCTGGGCTGGGAGGGAGGTGAAGGACCTGGCGGTCCAGCAGAGTACCCCCCACACACACCCCCGATCCCTGCTCCCGGCCCCACGCACGACCACACGGGACAGACTGGCCAGGCACTTCTGAAGACGGAGGGCGGCCCCTGGCCCGGCATCAGTTGGAGCTGCTCAGAGGAGACACAGCCGTCTGGCTTTCCTCAGCTCCTGTTTCCAGAGCATAAGGCAGCCAGCCCTGGGTGAGGGGAGCCAGGCTGCCAACGGGCTCCCCCTTCCCGTACCTCGTGGTGGGAGTAGACCCCCTTCCCCAACCCTTGTCCCTCAAGCCTGCTCCTTCCAGCACAGGGAAGGAGGTGGGACCCTGAGCCGGCACAGGTCGTGGGCTGACCTGGATGAAGACCACATGGGCCCCAGGCCCCTCGCCTAGGCTGGGCCTGGGGAGGTGGGAGCCCTCCCCGCCCCCAGAGCCCTCAGAACTTCAGGCCACAGGGGCTCGAGGGGGCCCGGGTGTGAGGGAAAGAGGAGGGCCCGGGCAGCCCCACGACTCTCCTGAGGGACTTTGGATTCGGGAGGAGTTCCTGGAAGGGGCGGAGACGATCTGAACACCGAGGGCAGGAGGCCGGAGTGCACACCACTTTGGAAATCATGCAATTTACACACAAAGTGGGAGAGGAAACCTCACTTCTCCCTCAACGGTGGGGGGGGTCACACAGAGCAAGCTGGCCTCACATCCAGCTCCCCCTCCCCCTCCAAGAAGGAACAGTGCGTGCGGCGTGCGGCCCTCGGCCCAGGTGATGAGGCCCCTGTCTCCCTGCTCTGGGCCCCGGGCCGTGCACAGCTTCCCAATGGGCCGGCCGGCCGGCCTCCGCCGGTCTCTCACTCACGCTCCTGACGGTTGGAAGCACAATTTCCCTCCCAGTGGAGGAAGAGGAAGGGCCTGAGCCTGCTGAGGGGGTGTTCACTTTTAACTGCTAACAGCCCCCACTCCTCTGAAACTCACAGGACGGGTCTGAGGACCCCTGAGAACCACCCCTGTGTGTGCGTGGGTGCACAGGCGTGTGGGACTCAGTCCAGGACCTAACAGTCACACAGCAGCACTGGCTGACTATTTGAAGTGGGTTTAACTCCGCCGCCCCCGACCCCCGTAGTCATGAGACCGTTCGACGGGCTCACCTCCCTGAGAGCCCTGAGCCACCAGGTGGGAGCACCTGGGGACCAGGCGGGTGGCGGGAGAGGTGGGGAGGGCTTGGGCACGGGCCTCGGTCTGTGAGTGAGTTGACTCTGGGCACCTGGCTGCCTCGCTTCCAGGACCAGCCCGAGTACAGGGCAGCTTGGCTGGACTGGGGCCACCTTATTGGCCAAAACCCAGGGCTCGTTTTCAGGAGGTTGGCAGTGAACAGCAAGCTGGGCTAGTCTCTCCCTCTCTCTCCCTCTCTGATGCCAGTCCGGCTGTTTGCACCTAACACCCTCTCTTAGCCGCATGTGTGTTTATTTATACTTATACCCAGGTGGACTGCAGTGTTCATCTTTGTTGGGAACGACTTCGTTGTGAATCAGAATTGGGCCCATGAGTACAGTGTGTTTCCAAACCCTCAGGCCGGGGGTCCTGAGGACAGAGATGGGGGGCGTGAAGCCCACGCAGCTGCCACCATCTGATGTTTTAGTTCCACTGTATTTAATTTGTTTCAAAATTAAAAGTCAAATATGGTTTTTAACAGTCCTAGCCCTCGTCAGCCCTGCCTTATTTTCCCTCCTTCATGTAACCATCCAGCTGCACTGGTCCACGGGCCTCTTTCAGGAGCCAGGACAGAGCAGTGGAAA